TTACGTTTGCTTTTTCTATATTATATTTGGATTTTCCTAGCCTTTCCCCTCGGTCCCAAACTCTCAGTGCGCGTTAAAAAGAAGAATAGACACATGTGAGCAAATGCCGGGGAAATAAGTAAAAACGAGCACTGTACGTTATATTTTTATTTCGCAGTGGCTCCGCGTGCCGCGTAAATTTTACAAATACGTTTGGGGCCAAAAGGGAGTCCTGTGTGCGCGTCCTGGCAGGAATTCCTCTCTATTTGCTGGGGGATCTGTCTCAGGCTCCCGACCAAGTGCAAACCAAGCGAGACTGAGTTTTTTATGTTGGCTTAATAAAAATACATTTCGCACGTGGAACGGAAGAGGAACTTCACCCACTCAACTGGCTTGCCACTCCACTTTGCTGCATAACCCTTTTCCCCCCATTTTCTATTTGTGGAAATGCACTGCGAAGAAAAACCTCAATGTAACGTTGGATATTCTGATAGCAAGTAGACTTATTTGTACAAATTTTAAATTTGTTTAATACTTTAACGGAAATATTCTGCTTAGTAGTATGTATGTTTACTATGCAATTAAAATGCCATACTTTTCAACTTATAACTACAGCATATTTCTCTGCAACAATTTGATGCCTAACTATACTTAGTGAAAAATGTTCGAATGTCTACTGAAGTGAAACAATTTTTTCATTGGCTCATAAAATATTAAAAGTTTCGATTTTCCGTGCACGCGGAGCGTTTTAGATTCGAGCATTTCAACTGGATGCTGCTGGTCGCAAAAATAAACCGCATTCAGGCAGCACGGCGGCACACACTCCTCCTCCACCCCGGAAAATGCCACCCACCCAGTGGAATCCCGGATAGATAGCATGGGCACACTTACCAGAGAATCCTTCCGGACACGTACAATTGTAGTAGGCCACACCGTCCACACATGTCCCGCCGTTCTGGCAAGGACTCGACCAGCACTCGTCCCAATTCGTTTGGCACTGGATCCCTGTGTAGCCATCAATGCAGTAACACGAGTACGAGCTGTTGTTTTAGTTGTTTCCATCCGGGTGCGGTGGGTGTGCGGAACGGTGTGTCAATGATGCATCAAACGGTGGTAAAAAACAGCCGGATAGCAGCATCGCAGCAAAAGAAAACAGAGAAAACGCAGGTTTAGTGGCAGAACGAACAAAGTGCTTTGGATAGAAATTGTTTCGCGTGTGCAGATACGGATACAGATACAGATACAGCAGTACTATAATGGCAGTGGGCGGACGCGGATAAATTCGCGGATATTCTCTGGGATATATACCTAACCCTATGGCCACACAACTAGATAGCGTTCCGATAAATATTCCCCCTAATATATCTAACTCAAACTGTATTATTCAATCTATAATATTTTATGATATAATACTCCATCTACCACATCATCTTGGAAAACTCCTACTTCTGTTGTTATCCTACTATTCCCAATTATGAAAATACAGCTGAGCTGCATTTGAGTTGGCCTGCACTCCTGTGTTTTCCTGAATAAATTTCCTTGACTTTTCAGGCTTGGATCTCCTACATTCAGACGTAATGCACATACCCTACAGCCAAATCGGCGGCCAGTTGAGTGCTATAAACATTGAAAGAGCGCAACATCGGGCTTGCGGAGTTGTGGAAATAAATATTTGGTAGACATTTGGGACTGGGCTCTCCATTTCCATTTCTATTTCTATTTTGGCCAAGCCGAATTCGAATTGAAACCGAAATGCAAAGAGCGAAAAAAGTGTCAGGGGAACTGTGGCCGAGTGTTATCCGAGGAGCACTGCAAACATGGCAGGAGGATGACTGCCAGGTAACCGGCTTAATTAAAGAAGTTTCTTTGCCGTGTAAATGGGCCAGTGGGGCTGGGGAGTGGGGTAAGTAACGTTGGCTTACTGTTGTCCCTTATAATGGATTACATTAGGATGCAGGAGGCAGCTGATGGCTCCCGGTGCACATGTCTGTTATGGTCTTGGCACGGCATAAGCACCCAGACACACTCGCCCGTTGTGTCCGAACCTTGTTTTCAGTTCACCCGAGTGCGGAGTGAAGCCCCTGGGATTCTGTTCCGGCTGATTATGGGCTACGGTTGGACATTTTCACCCGGGAGACCATTTGATTTGTTGTGCTCAGCCAGGAGCAATTGGGAAATGACTACGTAATGGCTTTGGACCGGCTCCTTGCGGCCGGAATATCAGAGTGGCTATTGCCATCAAGATATTGGACGCTCGGTGCGGTGGGTAATTTTTTGTGCATTCTATTTATAAATATTGCTAATAATTTATTCAATAATAATTCAACCATTAGTCTGTGGCGAGTTCTAATTGTAATTAAATGCTTACAATTAAATGCTTACAACATTCAACATTTTGTACAGTTCAATCTGTTTCAGGACCGAATGAAGTGAACTATTATTGCCTTTAGCAATTTGCCAAGCAAATCATATCCGTCTGCTCATCCTTAACAGCCAACTTTTATTGGAGTCTTCGGAGCGAAGTCATAAAACGGTTAAGAGCCATCTTATCGCTCGAGTAAGCCAGGATAAACCAATAAAATATCAATGTTCTCCGAAGCCAGTAAACTCCTTCGCGCTATTCCCCCTCGACGCAGTCGACCCCAAAGTTTGAGCTGGTCGAAAACTATTCAGTTAATCCGTTTAAATCTCATGGCATCGTGTTAAATTTAATTGCAGCTATAAATTTCGCCTGCCAGCATATAAACTTTCCCATCCATCCGCCTTGGCCAGCCTGAGTTTTTCCACTCCTCTCTATTTTGGGAGGGGAAATGCAGGCGGGAAGCGATTTCAAGCTTCTGGTTTTCGCATTTCGCATTTGACTTGCAGCTTTTCCATGGAGCTATCGTAAAAAATATCTTAACCGCATTTCCCGTCGGTGGTTGGGTGGTTGTGGATGCTTTCTGGGTGGGATTAGCGCTTGCATATATCGCGAAGTGAGCATAGAAAAATAAAGTGGCAGTTACTTAGTCGTATAAATGGCGTCAAGGAGAAGGATTGCCTCGTCTTCTAACTTGTTTGTGCAATCGGTTTTGAGTTACATACACGTATATGTACGAGTATATATGTGTACTTATGGGAAAAGGTCGGTGGAATATGGTGGAATCTCTGACAGTTAAGCCTCAAAGTTTAGCCCACTGAATGGCTGGAAGTGCTGCAATTTGTGGAGCTACTTAGATTTGAATTTGAGATGAAGTGCAGACTCTGGCGATATTTGCAAGGGATTTGCATAGCTTTCTTATCTGAATTTGTGCAAGAAAGAGTGTATTCCTGGCTTAAAGCTGGCTGAATTTAAAAAATGTAACTGCGAACGCCAATGGATGCAAATAACTGCAATATTCCTTAAACTTGATTATCTTTGAGCAGCAGATTTAATTAAATTCCCAGCTGTGGGCGCTGCATTTTTAATAAAACTTGAAATATTCTGCATATCTTGGCCATAAATTTTCTGCATTAAGAATGCACTTCGGTTGCTCGTCCAAGTTAATAATTTTCCAGCTGCTTGCAATTGAAACCCACTTAACCCTTTGGCACGCCCCCTGCCTCTTCCGCCCCAACCCACACCAACACACTTGCAGTGGCCGCAACTTAACCCCATTTAAACGGGCATGCATTAAAAAGTGTGAAGGATGTGAGGCCCATGGTTAGGGGTATTCCTGCCCTGAAACAGGAGCAGAAATAAAACCGAAGCGGGGAGGACAGCTGTGGCAAATTCATTTCCCTGCTAAGTGGCGGCATCAACATCGAGGGTTCCCCATATCGCTTGGCACGGTATGGAAAGGCCCATATATCGGGGTAACTGAAACTGAAGCTGAAGCTGAATGCCCTCCTGATGTGCAAGTGGCACGAGTTTATTGCCACTCGAAATGTGTTGGACGGGTTTATTGGTCGCTGCCTGGCCGATAATCAGCAAAAAAGTAAAACGGTTGGGAGTGCTTTTACCCATTTGGGGATGCTCGAAAAACTTCATCCAGATTTGTCGAATTTAACCAAGACAACTAGTCTGGGTAGCAATGTTAATGTTCTGTTCTGATATTTTGGTAATAAAATATTAAGCTTGTTTAAATTTGCATAAGCCCCTGGAAATGAGTAAACACCTACAAGCGCTGCCATCCCTAGAAATTTGTTAGAGGGCTTTGCACCCGAACTCACCTGTTTAGGCCATCGATGCACACGCCGAACACACAGGGATTGCTGAGGCAGGCGAATCCTGCCTGGCTGCTGCCCACGAGGATGGCCAGGATCAGAACGGGTAGGAGCACACCCCTTGCTAATATCCTTAATGTCGGAAGGAGGATGTTCGGGTTCGAGTTCAGGCTCCGTGTGGCTGTTGCTGATTTTCTAGTGGTGCTGTTGCTGCTGCTGCTGCTGGCAATGGTAGCTGTTATCGTTGGTTTCTCTATTGTTGGTGTTGGCATCTTTAGCAGGTGGTTTCGTTGCATGTCCTTGGGGGCAAGTGTAACACTCAGGCCGGTGGTGGTGGCTCCGTTCGCTGTCAGCGGTGTGGCTGCCCCCAAAGCTGTGCCGGCCCCGTCCTCAGAGTCCTTCGAAGGCAACGCGGCACATCGGCGACCCATGTCGCGTTCAATTTGAGGCGATTCCGCCATCGTCTGCGTATCAAACTGATGCACGTTGCTCATACGCCCCGTGACTGGGGAAATCTTATTTTGATTGATGCTGCTGCGGCTGCTGCTGCTGCTGCTGCTGCAGAGTCGCTTCCACTTGGGTGTCCTTGTTGCTGGTCTTCTATCCGCTTAAGTGCTTTATTAGTTCTCATTGTCTGCCCCACTGATTGTTTGCTGGCCCAGCGGTCCTTGAATGCAATCTGCGTCGCCTGCGCATCGCATCAGCATCCTTGCAGTTCTTGCAGTCCTTGCAGTCCTTGCACTCCTCACAGTCCTCCGCAAGTGGCTGGCATTCTTGTTTATGATTTCGACCGCTTCCTTCTGATATTTCCTGTTTTTTCTACTGCTTATTTCCAGAGCTCTTCAGCGGCGTATTGTGGCTCTTCTGGTCGTTCACATTGCCGCTGCCATTTCAATTTGCAATCTGTAAAAGTGCAGAGCGCAAAGAACAATCGTAAGTATTCTGAGATAATATTTGCGGCCCTCAATTGTTTCGCCGCTCTAAAGTGGCAATTAGATAGCTGGGGAAGTTTTTGTGCTCCCACAATTGGCTGTAAAATGGTAGATATTTTTCCTCAACTAATCTGTGCCATATTACGCTGTGATTTACTGTAATATCATTTTCCACATTAAAGAATTAATTAGGTAAATATTCATTTGCGAATCACTGGGAGCGCATTTGTAATATTAATTGATTTTATTTTAGGGCTTAATACTGCACTGATTGACACTGTTTCTATTTGCGAAATAAACAAGTTTTGACAAAGCCCAACCCAAATCCTCAAACAGCATATCACTTTGTGTGGCAGTCGAAATCCGTTTTACACATCTAATCCATAATGCCGCCATGTGGATACCCATCCTATTTCACTCCGTCTGATGGCCAGATGTACACTACATTTTCCCATTACCCATGTGTCAAAATAAACCCGACAACTTGTTCGCATATCACACATGTGCTGCATGGATTTGGGTTAGTTTTGGGCTTCGGGTACTTGGATGTTTAGATAGGCCCAGAGCATACAGTAAAAGAAATGTTTTCACAGAAAAATGCGGGGCTCTACTTTATTAAATTAACTTGCTGGTCAGTGGACATCCGCCGAGCCTTCCTCCGCTTTAAGACCGAGAAAGTACTTGTAATTCCTTTGCATGCACAATATGCAGACTAATAACTTAGCAACGTTTCTTCCCCACACACTAGTCAGAAAATAAATATTCTTTATGGCTGCTACAGAATGTTTGCCGGAGTTAAAAAGCTGAAAAAAGAGACAGCTTTCGGGACCATTTCAAAGTAGTAACTCGCAACGTCAATTGCAGCAGAACAGCAGAGCAGCAGACTTGTGCGATGGCAACGGATAACTGACCAGGACACTGGGACACTGGAGGAGGGACTTGGATTCCGTATCCCTACCAGGCGCCTCATAGCCCGACTGCACCATCAACATAAATCCGACTTATCTTGGCCAACGACCAAGCAACTGGCACAGTCTTTCATCATCGCTTTGGGGGTCGGAGAACTATCCGACCATATTGTTTGAATGGAGCACTATATGGCCAGCGTCAGTCGCAACGTTGGGATTATAAGCGGCTAATACGAAGAGGAGCCAATGTATGGTGGCCATTTTCCAGCTGGAAATTAGAGTCAGGCTCAAATTGAAAGACGCGGACGCTAGCGTTGATTAACTTGCATAAACTTATCACATATCGTTATGGTAGCTGAGGAAAACGGAAGGTGCACTTAAGAAGTATACACTAGGAATGGTCATTCACAACGTGAGAGCTTTTCATTAGGTTTCATAATAGCACTCCAAAAACAACGTGCTAAGTAAGTTGTCTTAAGAACTGTACTAAAAACATTTCAGCAAACCGCAGGCACAATTTCGCCAAGTGCACTTTCCTCTGTCAGGTTGACGCCAGGCAATAGATCCTGATGATGCTGATGAGGCTCGTGTTGCCATTGTTGCATCCATTTTCCCATCAGCAGGCTGCATTGTCAGGGGGGCAGCAACAAGAACAGCAATAGGAAAAGCGCTAGCTGGAGGGGAGGAAAATGGGTGGGGGAGGTTCCACAGGAGGTACACGGATATCATCACATTGCTGATGACGGCAGGCGACGAGCGGCGGTGAATGAATTTAGCTTGTAAACACAGACAGCATGAAATGCGCACGAACGGCTCAAACTGGCCGAGAGCCAAAGGGGCGGTGGGCGTGGCCGTAGGTGCTGGAGAGGCAATCTCGAATTGCCGGAGAAGAAGCCAGAAGTTGTTCCAGTTACACAGAGAGATGACCGAGTGCATCCGCCACTTTATCCTCCATCGCTTTTCCTCTCCATTCAACAAGAGACAAACAAAATGCTGGTCCTTTCAAGTTGACCAATCAGTTGGGAATCATAGCGAAATCCAAGGCTACATCTCTTTTTAAAGTAAACCGAGAAGAATTCCCAGTATTTCAAATTAAACAGTTGGGACCTTGGCCGTAATCATTAAGTGATATTTTCAGGCCGAGCGAAGTATGCGTTTTTGGCCATCATTAAGCAGGAAATGTCATTAAATTGGTGGCACCTGCATACTCTAGGACCATTTTCCGCTGCGAAAATGTTAGCCAGCAAGGGGAGGGCCATAAAACCAAAACGTTTTCATTCGGCAAATTCTCGTCGTTCACCTGGGTGAAAGCCAGGCCAAAACCGAGATCCACAGCCTAGATGTTTCTGCTTTTATTGTCGCCACTGCTGTTGCTGCCGTTCCTGTTGCCTTTTTATGGCATTTGCAGCAACTGCAACTTTGTGGAAATCCCAGGAGGTGGCACTACGGGGGCACTTGGGGACCCGAGGACTTTGCCATTAACGTGAGCCATTTGCCAACAACTGTGTGTTGACATAATGTTGCAGATTTGCAGGACGAGATGGAAGACGTTGTCGGCTGTCCTTCAAGAATTTGATGACATTAATGAATGGGCCTTGTTAGGCAATGTGTAATCTGGTGGGGTAATTATTAACAGGTTTTCTACGGCCTCGTTAGTCGCTGATGAGTGGCAGAGTGACAGGATTTTTTTTAGGAAGACAGGCCCAGGAAGTTGGTAAGATAAATGCGAAAAGACTGATGCTGAAGGATTGCAATTACAGCAAGGATTTGGAGGGACGTACCTAGCCTACTTAGGCGTCAAATTAGTATTGAATCTGAGCTAATGATTATGATTTATTGCGTAATAATCATAAATCATTCTTCAAAAACAATTACCTGACGGCCTGCCCGTACATCACCTACATACAATATCTGCAATCAAGAAACACAATTGGTTCTGTGGCTAACTCGTTCAACTTGAGCTCTCTATTCTTTGAAATACTTTTCAGAAATTTCCTAGAGTGCTGCTCAGTTTATTTGCCATTCCTTAGACCAGAGAAATTTGCTCGCATAAATTTAATGAAATTGTGCACATTTTTTTGTCGGCTTGTGTTGTGCAATTTATGCAAAGCGCTTTTGAGTAAACAAGTGCTGGCGTAAAAAGTTGAAAATGCTGAGACAACAGAGGTTTTCGTACCCCACTTCTCGCTCATATTGTTAATTAATTCTGACAAATATTGTGCAAATATTTGGAAAAACTCAGCAGCCACCGGGAGCAGAGAGCGTTTATAATAAGGCAAGCAATATGCCGAGCCATTGAGCCAGGATCTTCCGAACACTTTGCGCTGCCTGTGAGTCCTGTAATGTGTGTGTGTAAAGCGTGTGAAAATCGATGGCCAAAAATAAACAATACAACGAACGCGAACGAACGCAGAGTTACACACATGTTAAAATAATTAACTTGTCTTTGACAAGACATATGAGCAAACACACAGCACTCTCGCTCTCCTCTATGTTCATAAAACACGCCATGTGGGCACTGCACAAATACAATTACCTTTAAGTATCCCCTCCCGCCCACCTATACCCGACCACCCCCTTCCCCGTTCTGCAAACACGTGCTCGACCAGCCACCAGTTCCGTTTGGCTAATACGATTACATGGCCTGTTCCATCCACCCACATGAAAGGCCCACCAGAAAAGCCCTGCCCCAAAAATATGGCCATACAAAGCATGCAGCTATTGAATGGCACATAATTTTCCTGAATAGAATCCTTTTTTCAGAAGTTAGATGTTTCATTGAATTCGTCTGGTAAGCTTTCATCGCCACACATATTCCTAATAACTGGTATACCAACTCATTATCTCTTATCCCTGTATATCTAATGCATCTCGACTCACATGGCAGTGTGGAAACGTGACGTCGTTTGCGGGGGGTGCGCCCCAAAGGGGGCGTGGCCAATCGGTCTAGCTCCTGTTGTTATTGTGGTTGCGGGTCGTTATAATTAATTGACTTAAATCAATTTCGGACTTTGAAGTATTCGTGAGCATTTCTCGGTCGCAGTCGCTGCTCATGATGCTCGGAAATGATTTTCATAACTCATACGCAGTGTGGGCCAAATGGGGGTTGAAATTGCTTTGCAGGGGCGCAAAAAAAGTGGCGCACCATGTCTTAATAGGGCATGGTCGATGAAAATATAGCATAATGTCCGCGATAATTTTCCCTATGAACAGCTTGAAGTGTTTGGGTTTTATGGGGTATATATGGAAGAGGTCTGGGTCGAAAAACCAAGCTGGGCTTCCACTTCCGATTGAGTACACCCATTTGGGAAACGGTTCGCTTTTTATCCTAGGAGGAAACGCCGTGCCCAGTGCATTATCTTTGGCTCCGCTTTTGCGTTGATCCCTTTGGAAGGCGGATAACATGCGACATCCGCTGCCTAGGAAGTTCAAAGCCTTCGAGATATATGACTGCCATATCCTGGGCTGCATCTGCGTCAGCTCCAAGATTAAGTGTCAGCACGCGCTCCATTTTCGCACACAAAGGAGCCGCTGGCAGGATACGCGATACACGAAGATTGCGTATACGCCATGTGTGCGCCTTTCTCGACTTTGGCGCCTTTCTCTTGGCTTTCGTCCCATCTGCTGACCTCCGACATTAACATTGTAGTGTGCTCTGCTAGCTTTCACTCTTTGTTTTGTAAATGTGTTTTAAAAATGTTTCGAATGCTGTCGTTGGTTTCCTCCGGTTTCCTTCCTTTTGTGTTTGCCCGTTTGGTCTGTGTAAACACTTCCCCTGACCCCTGGAATATTTATTAAAGCAATCTGTGCTGCCGGCAGATTTATTTAAGCGTATTTGTCTTGCAATTCATACACATCGCGTTGCATTCTTATTTCCCCAATTTTTGTTTCGAACTTGTTTCGCTCGGTTTCGATGGCCATCTGGCCAGCGAAACAACAAACGTAAATTGAATTTGAATTGGTTATTTATACGTTTATCTGCGAACATTGTCTGGCTGAGGTGAAGTCGGTGGACACATTGGTTTGATTGCTGTAACTGTCCTTGGCTGTCCACGTTTTCGATTTGAATAATTAATTCAATTGATTGGCTTTG